TTAAATTATATATTTGATAATATATATATATATATATATATGCAAATATTAAAAAAATTTGGGAGTACCCCTTAATAAATACCCACACAGATATAAAGATGAGTACGAGTCATATTTTTTTATACGGGTAGGGTACAAGTAAACTCGCACTCAAGGATAATGCCCAAACTTATCTCGACTTTGATGGAGAATATTTAATTTGATAATTGAGCACATATACATGTTTAGACAATACTCAATTTATTAAATCAATTATGAGAATAAGAATGAGTATATATTTACCCACTCCTTACCTGTATCATTTTAAATTTCTAGAAACTTATTTTTTTTTTATGAATTACTTAGCATTTATGTAATTTTTACTCTGTTTTAAATTTATGGCAAATGAAACTTAATTAATATAATTTAATAATTGCTACTTTATGTTGAAATTATATTTTTTTATAGTTTTTTTGTAAAGATAAATTATTTAATTAATTTTTGGATAGATATGAGTATATCTAATACTTAATAAATACGAAATGAGACACAAATTTCATATTCGTCAAATATAAAAATAAAAATAAATATAAAATATGAGAATAGAGACAAGAATATTAAAATTCATACCTCCTGATCGTCATTCCTAATAATGGAGACATATTATTCGTGTTCACGTTCATATTAATTATAACTAATGATCCATTTCCTAAATAACTTCTCAATTTGTCCAACTCCTATAATGATCATGAATGTTTAATAATGTTCCATGTTCATTTAAATTAACAGTATTTCTCTTGTTTTAAACGTTGGTGTAGAAACACGGGAGTTTCCTCAATAACTTCTTAGACCAATCTTTAACAGCAATTAAAAGCCGATTATGAATTTTTTTTTAAATAAGTGGAAAAGAACTCGCGACTTGAATAAAAAAATAACATTATTGTGACCTTTAAATAATATATATATATATATATTAATTAATAATTATGTATATAAATATATAATTATAACTAAAGTCGTAAAATAACCTATGACTTGTATTTGTTTTATTATTTTTGGATAATTATTTTGTATATAAATCATAAATCGTGGCTGTGACACGACTCACTCTATTGTAAAATCAATCACCTTTAAATACTTGTGGAATAAAATTATCACTCACAGATAAAAAAAAAAAATAGCAAGCACCTTTCAAAGACTAAATAGATTCAAAACTCATACGAGTGGGTAAGGTTGCGCAACACTTGGAAGCTGGATGACAAAACGAAGACGTATTGTAATAACAAAAAATATAATGGAAAATTTGAAATTCTTTAAGATTAAGAGTACTTGTATGAAATGTTCTAGTTCTGAGAAGACTTAATAACATAGTAATTGAAGTGAAGAACGAAGTAGATCTGGCAACGATTAATAGATAATCAGAGACATACATAGTGAGTTTGAGTTTGATAATAAATTATTTGATGCATGGGGATTTGAAAAGACCATTCAGCCTGATTGCACTAGAGGCGAAGCAAACGGATACCTCTTTCTAACTTAAGTTTCTTGATATGATCTTGTGTTGCATAGCGACCTATATGATCAGAATATTCCGTTTGAAGCTCCACAAGTTGCTCGTACTTGCAAATTTGACGATCAAGGTCGCCAACGTACACGCGATTCAGTTTTTCCAACACGTCCATGCCAATTTCCTCCACTAATTCAGACTCCATGCTGTCATGTGCATACGTACAAAAACATAATGATGCAAAACTTCAACTGTAATATATACCAATATGCTTTATTTTGTTTCAATTTTACTGTATTGGAAGAAATTTTGTGTCATATGTTTTAGTTTACTATGCTGAGGAAGAAAAAATCGTGAATTTATAAGATTATAAAATAAAAATATTGATATATAAACTTGTTCCGGTTTGTCTAAAAAAATCTCACATTGCTTAGGGATTTATAAACATCCCTCTTTTACCCATCGAAATATCTTTTAAAATACAAAATCATAACGGTCCAATAAGTCTTAGAATAATGGATTTGAGTATAACTCAACCTTACAAAACCAACTTGTAAGGTGAGGGTTGCTTTTCACTTATATACTATTTAATTGTCTTATTTCTGGTTGATGTGAGACTTGAATTTTTCTCAATACATCCCCTCACGTCCAGCACTATTGGACTTGATATGTGGATAAATGGTAGATGACCCTTTTTAATGATCTAGAATTAACAGGACTTGAATTTTTTTTTTCTCAATACACCCCCTCATGCCCATGGTGCATGTAATGGTGGGTGACCCATTTTTAAGAATTTAGTATAACTCTGATACCATCCTAGAATAGTGGATTTGAACCTAACTCAACCTTACAAAATCGACTTTGTAAGGTTGAGTTAGATCCAAATCCATTATTCTAAGATGGTATCAGAGTTATCATAGATCCTTAAAAATGGGTCACCTACCATTAATACATGTATCATGGGCATGAAGGGGTGTATTGAGAAAAACTCAAGTCCCGCTAATCTTAGATCATTAAAAAGTGTCACCCACCATTTATTCACGTACCAAGCCCAATAGTACTGAACGTTAGGAAGTGTATTGAGAAAAATACAAGTCTCACATCAACTAGAAATTAGACAATTGAATAATATATAAGTGGAAAACCCTCACCTTACAAGTCATTTTTGTAGGGTTGAGTTAAGTTCAAATCTACTATTTTAAGAATAAGTATCAAAGCGAACAATATCTCGAATGTGATAAAAGAGTCATTTAGGCAATTGAATTTACCTGTTGGGTGAGCATTCCCAGCCAGAGTGATTAGCAACATGTGTCAAAGCCTTTCTCCATTTTTGCACCTTCTCCGTGTTACCTCCAAAACGTTGTTCGTGTTTTGCAAATGCATCTCCATAACTCCCTGTCTGATTTCGCACCATAGATGGATCTACATGGTAGAAAACAGGCACCACAATTTGCCCATTTCTTTCCTTACACTCCAATATTTTCACAACCTCGTCCAAGCACCACTTTGACGTGGCAAAGTTTTCTGAGAAAACAATGACCGAAAGATTCGCTTCCTCGATTGCTCTAAGAAGGGTCTGAGATATTTCATCACCTCTCCTAAGGTCGTGGTCTATGTAGGTTCTGATGCCGCACCTCTTTAACGCAGCATTAAGATGGCCAGTGAAAGTGTTACGCGTGTCCTCTCCTCGAAAGCTAACAAACACTTCATGCTCTTTATTTTGAGAATCATTGGAGGAGGAGTATGCCATTACAACCTTAATAATCAAATGGATTTGGGATTCGGACCTCAAGTTTCTTCTTGCGAATTTTGAACTTTGATGCCCCTGTGATGCATGGTTTGCTAGTATAAATAAATATATGATATAGTTTGACAAAATAAAAAATAAAATATTAGGCAATTGGTGGAAGCTAGCGTTGACATTCATTCGAATTGTATTTCATTCATTCGTTTTGTGGAAGAGGGAATTGAAGATGTATGAATTAGTTGTTATCTAGAACAGATATCCAGATAATTGGATTCAATCTTTTTTTTGTACAATTAATTAATGCAGTCAACTCTATTAAATTGGTCTCAAATACTTCTATCTATTAACATCCACACGGAATTCAACGATTCACCGAGCTAGCTACTTTCTTACTTCTTTTTTTAATTTTTTCCCCTCTGTTTCTTCGGTGGATTTTAATATTAATCTGCCTAGTTGCTTTTGATTGTCTTCTTATATCACGTATTTAAATTCAACTTGAAAGTGTAATATAATAAATTAAAATCATTTGAGCTGGAAGAATTATTATATACAAAGTATTGTGTTAAATGAATATATAATCTAAAATGTTTGTTGAATTATTATACCAAGCATTGACATTCGGAGTGTATTTCGTTGTCCTTTCGTGGAAGGGAGAATTGAAGATGAATTACTTGTTTGTCTATAACACATACACCGTAGGGAGCAGTGGAGCACTACTTACGTCAGACTTTCTACATTGAAATGATGTAAATTAACTCAATGTAAAAAGTGTCAAACATTCTATATTAGTTGCAAATCGCAACTCCTCGAGAGAAGTCAACTAGACTTAGAAAAAAATGAGGGTATCCAAGTTTTTATTAAATTGAGTTATTTTAGTAGTTTATATTTTCTTTTTATATATATATATATATATTTCATAAATATTTTAATTATTTTTTACCTTATATTTTAATAAAATCCTATAAGAATCTTTGTCCTTATATTGATTTTATTGAGAGTGTAATTATTAATTTATGAGAGATGTCACTAGTTAAGATCATGTTAGATTTACTGGATGTCGAAAACCCAAAATTTTTTTGGATCATGGGGTTGGACATCCACTTGTTCAAACAATTGGTTTGGACGCCTAAAACCAAGTCAAATAGGTCATCCAAGTGACCAACTTGTCACATGATTTTTGATAGTAATATTTCTATAATTTGTAGATTAGTAATCATTAGTTTGTTAGGTGTAATGATTTAGGTTTGATAGTTAGAATTAAGTTAATCTAACCCAGGTTATTTTTAATCTAAAATAAGCTTGACTTGTTCCATAAACTTCCATACATATAACTAGAGTTAGTTAGATTAAGTATAAGCTAACTAACCTTAGTCACACTTAACTAAGGTTAGTCTAGCTTGTACATATGTCAACCAAACTCTATATAAGCAAACTCTTTGTATATGATTAAACGCTTTTGGTTTTTAAAGCTTTTTTCATCCATGGAAAAAGATTAGACACAACAAGGAGACTAATGAAGGGAATCACCAACCATTTCTCCAATGATTTTCATCATCCACCATAAGTGTGAGGTAGCCCACATGGGATGCATGAAGTGGAGTCTGATGGATTTCACAAGTGTGGGATTTTTATAGTTAAGATCCCCCTATTTTGCCTTTCATGGAAAAAATTCATGCTAAGCTTGGGGCCTTTAAAGAAGAGATCCCCAAAGCTTTGCCTTTCATGCTAAACATGGCCAAGTAGATGCTTACTGTGGGACCTCCAAAGAGAAGATTGTCAAATTTTACCTTTCACACTAAGTGTGGCCAAGATTCACACTAAGTATGAGACATCTAAAGAGAAACTATAGAAGTATAATACATTGACGCTAATTAAGCTCCCCTAACTCACTAAGCTTGAGATAAATGTTATGGTATGACATTAAGTGTGGATAATATTGGAGTTAATCCTAGTAGTCAATCATTTATTTGTATACTAATTTTGATATATAAATATTTTATTATTTATATGAATATAAAGGCATTTCAAGAAATAATTATGTACCCCTGTCTAGTCCATCCTTTATATAAGAAAGAAATAACTAATTTATCAAAACCAATAAAAGTAGTTAAGATGGTTGAGTTACATTAATAATAATGTGATAGAATTAAATTTCATTTCGAAAATACCATTTCGAAAGTAGTATTAAATAACATTATAGCTAATTCAAGAGATAAATTTTTTCCACTAATTAGTGTAACTTGGATTGTTAATACATCAATAAATACATCCACTTACATAAGGATATAAAATAAAATTAGTTATTAGTACATCTTAAAGTAGGTATTTATTTCTTATAATTAGGACCAAAAAAGTATATCTATTTGTTTCTTATATAAAGGACCACAATAATTATTAATTTATTATGTAACATAGTAATGTCTTTAGAATATTTGATTTGCTTAAAGACATATCTAGTGTGACTTAATTGTGAGATTTTATTGAAAAAGATAATGTTTTTCTTAAAGTATTCATAGTCAAATATTATTGATATTATACCTTAGACTTGTATTTGCAGGTCTTTTTGTTTTCTTTTTCTTAAAAGAGGGGTTAGATGAAATATTTCATAATATTATTATTATGTACTTATTTTTTCTATTGTGATTAGACTTGTTGTCATACATTTTTTGAGTTGGTTTATCTTGCATATACCACATTCGCTTTAGCATACAGGTCTTTAATCTAGTAGTAGCACATTCTCTTCTATTGGTATATTATTTGATGATATGGGAGATGAGGTTAGAAAGTGACATTTGCTTATGTTTGTACTTCAGTTGTTGTTTATAGTCCATCCAGGATTTAGGCAGTCTCTCAATCAGGAGCTCTGATACAAACTCATCTAGTAGGATAGTGTTTTTATCCTTCAAATCTTTAAGTAGCTTGTACAATACTCATTGATTTGAACTTTGATGTCTTTATCTTCAATAATCGTCTACCAGTAGTAATTGTCAATAATGAACCTTTAATTTTCCTTATCACGTCCTTAACAATATATTTGAGGATGAGAGATTCCTAAATATCCTTGTAGAAACAATACACATCTAATAAATTATTAGATAATGCATTGAGCAAAATGTGACCACATTACCTTATTGGCTTGGTTCTAATCATTGATTTGCTTAGTAGTTGCCTTAGAATATAGTTTCAGAGCGGTAAAAATGAACATGACTCCCTGAATATCTTATAAGGTGTGGACACATTTCTACTAACAACGCAAGTTTGACAAGCAAATACTTAGATCTTTGAAATATCAAACAACGACTTGACATATATCAGAGTGATAATAGTAAGAGTTTGTTGGTCAAGTATCATGTTGTCAACTCTTAAACCCTTTAGATTATTATACAAACTATTGAGAACGCGATCAAAATTGACTTCTCAAGGTATTGTTCTAAAGGACTAATATGCAATCTCCTATGCAAGCTTCTCAAGTACATCAAAAACTTCTTAGTGATGTTCATGAGGCTATAGAACAAGCAAACTCTCAAAGTTGAAAACCCATAACAAGAACTAAAAAGATTGGCAAGATGGAGAAGAGAGAAGTTGTGCTCACTTGGTGTGTGTCTTTTCCCTAC